GGGATCTCTGGGGAYGGGCTGGGTCTCCCACCATGATCCTCACGGGCATGCCGGCCGCTGTTTCTGTATTGATAGTTCATTTCTTTTTATGGCTGAGCCGTGTTCTATGGGTGGACCACAGTTCACTTAGCCTTTCACCCTTGAAGAGTCTCTGGCTTCTGTCCAGTCAGGGCTATTACAAATCAAGCTGCTGGGAACGTTGTGTCCAGGTGTTAATGTGAACATAAATTTTTATCTCTGCAACCGCAGGAGTGAATTGTGAGGTCATAGGGTGGTTGCCTGCTTGGCTTTTTAAGAAGCTACCCAACTTTTCTGGGGCAGCCGCAGCAYGCTCCTGCCCAGCAGCAGAGCGTGMGTGGCCCYGCCCTCTGGGTCTTCCTCGCCTCGGGGGCTGGTGCTGGTTTTGTCTTACCATTTTGATGGGCGTGCGGTGGCAGCGCGCTGCAGTTTCAGTGTGCATTTCCTCGTGGCGAAGGACACTCGGCATCGTGTCACGCTCCTGTCCTCCATCTGTCTGCACTGACTCACTCGCTGCCTCTTGCCCGTTTGCAGATTGAGTTGTTTGTTTTCCACTGTTGAGTTTGACAGTGGAYGTGTTTCTGTAGTGAGGTCTTCTTGTCAGGTGTGTGGGTGTTAGTAACCTTTCATCATCTGACAAACACCTGGAAACAGCTGAAGGAGGAGAGGTTGGCTTTGGTTTGTGGTTTCAGGGTCCGTGGTTGGCCGGCTCCCTTGGTGCCTGGGGCACCCCATCATGGYGGAAGGAGGGCGGGTGGAGGGCAGAGCCACTCACCCCGTGGTGCTGGGAGCAGCTCTCAGTCAGCTATGGATCCTTCCGGAGCTAATGAATGAGGCCGAGCCTTCAGGAGCCACTCACTTCAAGCCCTGCCTCCAAACCCTGCTTCACTGGGGACCCAGGCTTCGACCTGTCTTGGGGGGTCACTTCACATCCAGACCGTAACAGGTGGTTTGAAATGTTTCCTTCCATATCCATAGCAGACTGTAGCTTGCCTTTTCATCCTCTTAAGCACCTGTCTCAGAATGAAAATCGGTGCTCTGATGAAGTCCAATTTATCAACGTTTCCTTTTATGGCTGGTGCTTTTGGTATCACACCTAGGAACCTGCCTCTTGCAATATTCTAAAGATTGTCTCCTGTTCATGTCCCTGAATGTTTTATCATGGTTTTCTATTTTGCAGCCCTGGTCCATTCGCACTGATTTTTATGTAAAATTGTGAAGTTTCTGCCTGCGGACGTCCGTTCCTCCAGCCCCTTTGGTTTGCACGGCTGTCCCTCCTTCCTGGGAGTGCCTGTCACCTTACTAACCAGTCAGTCCTGTGTGATGCCATTCAGGGCTCTCTGCTGTCATCTGTTCTCCTGGTGTCTGTCCGTCCGCCTCCTTCCTCCACAACTGCACAGTCTTGACTACTTTAGCTTAAAGAAGTCTTGAAATCAAATAGACTGATGCCCCCACTTTATCTTCTCTTTCACAATTGTTCCAGTTCTTGTGTCTTTCTATGTAAATGTTGGAATAATCTTGTCTTTCTGCAAAAAGAATCTTGCCAAGATCTTGGTAGGAATCTTGTTAAAGCTGTATTGAGTCGGCATCTGTGCCGTGGGGTCTCCCAGCCGTTAACGGACCAGGCCTTGTGTGTTGGTGACTTCTTTGATTTCTTCTCTTGTGCTTTGTTGGATTCACACCTCAGCCATGTCTTCCTTTGGGGGGATTATAAATGGTATTGCATGTTTTTCCTCAGGGTCTGCATGGTCCTTGGAGTGTGTAAGTACAGTGGGACTTGTGTACCTTTGCTCCTGGGAGCTTGCTGACCTCACTTGCTGGTCCTCAGWGGGTCTGGCAGAGATTCCTTGGCATGTGCTGTATAGACGGTCATGTGTTTGGCACACGAGGGCAGCGTTTCTTCTTCTCTCTGGCTCATGAGTTTTGTTTTTGAGTCTTGCCTGATTGCTCTGGTGGACCCTCCAGCACTGAGTGGAACAACGGTGGGGTGAGCTCTGGGCCCTGCCACCCTCAGAGGCAGGCCACCTGCCCCACCCCACTTCATACGAGCTGAGTGGGGTGTGGTTGACGCCTCTTTACCAACTGAAGGAAGTCCCTCTCCGACCCTAGTTCTCTGAGAGTCATAACCGTGGGTGGAACGTGGTGGAAGACGGTTTATGAGTTAACTGGTGTCCCTGTGCCATCTTTCCCCTCCAGCCTTTCTGTGGTGACACACTCACTGGTGATTGCCCCTGAGCCGGCATGGTGCTTTTGTAGTGCTGAGTTATGTTTTCTAAAATGTTACCATTTTTGTCGTTGTGTCCTTGTGTCCTTGTGTCCACAGAGGAATTGGTTTGAAGTTGTCTTTTGGCTGTTGTCGGTCTTTGTGGGTTTGGAATCAGGCTGATACCAGCTTCATAAGATGAATCTGGAAGTGTTCCCTCCTTTTTTTTTTTTTTTTCTGGAACAGATTGTTTAGAATTGTGTTAATTCTTTAAACATTTGGTAGAATTCACCAGTGAAATCTCTGGGCCTGGAAATTTCTTTTTTAGGAGCTTTTTAATTATGAATCCGATTCCATTAATAGTTGCAGGCTGCTCAGATTACCTTTCCTCTTGGCTGAGTTGTACTGGTGCCTTTTGGGGAGCCGGCCCACTCTGTCTGTGGAGGTTGTGTGCTCCCTTACAGTCCCCGCCATGTCGGGGTCGGTGGTGAGGCCCCTCTGTCCCTCGCTGTCCGACTTGCAAGGATTTTGCCGACTTGTTGATCTTCCCGGTGAACCCAGGCCCTGGCTCATGGCCGTGAGCTTCACTTGCTCTTCTCTCTCTGGGTTCTCAGGGGTCTTGKATGCCGGGTGTTGGTTTCCCGGGCTCTCAGGTCCCCTCCCAGCACTGCTCCGGTGTGTCCTACGGCAAAGGCTTGATGGTTGTGTTTTGTTTTCATCGAGTTCCCCTGAGACTTCCTCTTTGACCCATAGACCAGTTAGAGTGTGTTTAGTTTCTGTTTGGAGATTGTCCTCTTATCTTAATGATCCTGGGGTCAGAGAGTCCACTCTGAACGGTTTCGGTTCTTTAAAATTTGTGGAGCTTGTCCTCACGGCCTGGATCCTGGCCCACCCTGGCATGTGCCCAACAGACACCGGTGGCTGGGAGGGTCCATGAGTGCCCGTCGTTGGACGGACTTCCTGATCTATCTTGACTTGGTCATGGTTGATCTTAACGTCTGTGACCTGTGGCTGTTCCTGTCGTAAGTGATGCAGATCCATGCTCAGCTCACCCCGCGGGCGGAGGATCTCTATGTGATCCTTGCTGAGGTCGCCACTCTTCTTCCCTGGCAGGTGTGGGACTTTTTGAAGGCCAAGTCCTTGGACCGGCCAGCAGCCCAACCTGTGGCTCTAGAAGTGTTTCCTGGATGGGGTTTTTACTCTTGTAATTTCAAGAGACTTTTTCCTCTTCTCTTTTAGTCACAGAATGCTAAATCTGGAGAGACCCGGGCTATCTCACCCACCCACGTATGGGCACCCATTCTGGGGTTGGGAGACACAGGTGGAAGTAAAGATCTTGATACCTAGAGGTCTGGGATGCCCAGAGGGCACAACCATGCAGGCCAGGGAGCATGTGGAGAGAGGGCCAGCAGCTTCACTAGGTCCTGGCACTATCCAAACAGGTTTCCTGAGGGGCGTTTGCACTGTGAGTGTAAACTCCGTGCCAGGAGGTCACACTGTACCTGAGAGACAGTCACTGTGACATAGGTCTGYACAGTCCTCTCAGGGTGTGGGATCATAAAATTGAGAGTCTACTGCAGGCAGGTGAAGCAATGGAGTCGCAAGAGGTGAATTTAAGTTGATCGGTTTTAATTTTTTTCTTTTTGTGAAATTAACATGTTCATTATACAAAATGTAGAAGATATAGGGAAGCAAAAATAAGAATGAACTTTGTAACAACTCCTACAACMGAAGGGTAACCACTGTTGTTACTTTGGAATGTATCCTCCCCAGTATATTTTGAAAAATGGGATCATTCTCTATTACCACGTTAATTTTTAAGACTCCAAAAATAGGAACATTTTCCAAGATCTTCCCTTCCATTCATGTCATGATTACACAATCCCATTTGATGGACATGTAAGTCCTTCTGGTTTTCACTGTTTAAATAACACTGGGATGTGTACATTCACGATTATTTCCTACATAGGAGACACTGGGTCACAGCATAGGAACCCCATTGCCAAATTGGGGTATTAGGTCTTGTCCGTTTGGAGCGGTTTTGTTTTCTCTTGTTTTGTTTACACGGAGAGTTAAGCTTCAAGCCAACATAGAAGTTTACCTGGACTCAGGACTGAGCCCCGGAGGCTGTTAGTGTTCAGGGGACACAGGAATGGCACACTTGGACCAGGAAGAGACCTCTCCCTGCCCGAGAACCCAGAGCTGCTGACAAGAACAGTCCTGTGGACACCTAGTCCTGGCCATGAGTCTTCATCATGGCACTGGTCAGGGAACAGGAAAAGAGGCAGGTTACAGGCATCCYGGGACCTGAGCCCTATAAACCGGTCACCCAGCCCAGTTTTACAGACCAGGCGGCCGAGGGACAAATCACTCCACCTTCCTGCTTCCTCTCTGCAGGCCGGCCAGGAGAACACCACGCTTTACACTTGAGCTTGCATTTGAACTTGCTTCGTCAGAGTAATTGCCCCCATAAATGGGCCTGGGCACTCAGGGAAAGCCTCCCATTAGTGAGCCCCATAGTGCCTGCCTCTGTAGCTGGTGCTGACACCTGGAGACAGCCTGGACTCCACCGAGGACCAGTGGGAGCAGGCTGGGCCTGGGGCAGTCCAGGAGGAAGGGGACCCCCAGGCCCAGAGAGGCCTGCCCGGGTTGCTGGCCGGGAGGCCCCGCGTCTCAGCAGCTCGCCCGGCAGCCCCTGGCCACCGTGCCGGGCCTGGCCCGCGGTGACTTCCAGCTCCCTGTGCCCRTGTTCCATCTGCCTTTCTTCTTTGGTTTTCAGAGAGAGAAGAGCTAACCCAGAGCGTGCTGGCCCAGGTGGCAGAGCAGTTCTCCAGGTGCACAGCCCTCCACACACGCGCTGTCCCGACGGGCCGTCTGCTTCCGTGGCACAGGAGGCCCTTGTCTGAGGCTGGCCTAGGCCAGCAGGACTCCCCCTGTGACTTCTGTCCCTAAGCAGCTGGGCACACCCCGGGAATGCTCACCTTATCCCCAAGACCAGGTCCCACGGTCACTTCCAGAATGTGAGCTCCAACTGCAGAGAATGTTCTTGGCTGGTTCTTCTGGACTAGAAGACAGTCTGTACTTTTTTTTAAAAGCACCATTTTAAAAATGAGCTTCCTCCCTGAGGTCCTCCCAGAGGGGGCTGCATCTCCGTCCAGAGCTGCCCACTAATTCTAAGTGGGCGTTCGGTTTCCCAGACTGATTTTTCTGCAGTGYCTCACTGTCCCAGGGTGATTAAAATGGGGGAAAGGACAGATGGGCGGTGTATTTTAAAGCCCATGAATTATTGAACTGACTGGTCAGGGCCTCCAGAGGTGATACCAGTCCCCTGAAGGTGACTGTTCCCAGGGGGTGGGGTGCTTGGTGACCTGAGGACCTTGTAAACTTCTGTTCACTGCCCAGGTCAGGGGAAGTCAGTCCACCACCTGGGGACACTGAGCTCCTTAAAAGCATCTCTGAGTGTCTTGGTCTCCTCCCCACACCAGCCACCTGGAGGCCTCRCCCCTGACAGGGATCCTAGAGTTGGCTGGGCCACGTTTAGCTTTGAGGATTTTATGAGTTACGTTTTGTATTTTTTTCCATTTTATTCTAGAGCATTTAAGATCAATGAACTGAAAGCTGAAGTAGCGGACCACCTGGCGGTGCTGGAGAAACGCGTGGAATGTGAGTGGGGTTGTTGGCTTTCTGCTTCTGTCTTCTAACCACCTTAGAGCTAACCACTTGGACGGGGTGAGGTCAGTGCCACTGGTAAGCGCGGCTGTTTTCCTTATGAAATGCTTGGGGCTCCTGTGACCTCSCCAGGGCTGGAAGGGTAAGCCATCTGAGCATGTCACCCCTGCTTTAAAGCACGGCGGCACAGGACACAGGCCGTCTGCGCACAGAGCAGAGGGAAGACTCGGGCGCCTCACACTCAGCCTGGCCCCGGAGCCTCTGCTTCAGGCCTCGCCTGTGGCTGCTGCAGAATGAGGACATTCTCGGCACACCCACCGCACGCTGTGGTTTTTTGGAATATGTCTACACAGTTGTTATCTCTTGGTTTCCAATTATCACAAAAGCAAAGCAGAAAAGCAAAGTGAGCAAAGGAGAGTCGATTCCAGTCTTGATTCAGCTACYGGAACTCCACATTCTGGGAGGAAGACAGCTTCGAGTCGCCCACGTCTCGCACCCCGGCACTAATGGCAGGATCGGGGCTTGACTTCCACCCGCCTGACGTTCCGCATCCGGCTCGCAGCCCAGCACGGGAGGTGCTTTGTCAGTGTCCCAGCGGAGGTGAATGGTTAATGGGCACCTTATTTATTAACAGGATTAAGCAAACAATATCCAAACAAGAGACCACTAGGGGCCTGGCTTGCTCCCCAGAACACCTGGCAGATCTGTGCTTGTAAGATTGACAGAATGTCACTTCTCCTATCGTGTTTGAGTTGCTTATAATTAAAAAAAATGGAAAAATCAGCACGACACCAGGACTGATTCATCTAAACAAGTTGAATCATGAGCTCCATGGACATGGGCAAACTTTTCAAAAGTGTGTTGGCGTTTTAAAACTCACCTGCTCATTGGACCTTCGGTTTTCTTTAACCCGTGGAGGATGAGGATGCCACAAGGGTTAGGTGCGGATCAACAGGACTGGGACCAGGGCAGGGAGTCCCGGCCAGGCTGCTCTCAACTCCTGCCCCTGCCTGATGGGGCGAGCACTAGCTGAAGAGGAACAGCCCCACGAGGGTTCCCATACCCAGGGCAGAGACACGACGGCTGCTTCAAGCAGAGCACGACTCTTCCAGAAGAACTCCGGGCAGCGCCTGCTGGCCTGGAGGCTGCGCTGTGGAACAGCACTGATACTCTCGGTGCCAGCGCTGCCATTCCCGAGCCCAGGCACTGCCACAGCTCTCCCGGCACCTTCGCCCTGGACCCTGGGTCCCGACGGCCTCCGCTGCAGACATCAGGTTGCTTCTTCACATCACCAAGCACAGACTCAGAGCCTGCAGAGCTGGACCCTGTGCCCGCCTCAACTGCAGGGGAAGCCAAGGAACCACTGTGTTCACGTCCTGGGGCCACTTGACAAAGTTCCACAAAGTAGGGGCTGAACAACAGAAATGCCTTCTCTCATGATGCTGCGGGCCCCAAGTTCAAAGTCAAGGTGTCAACAGGGTGGGCTCCTCAGGGCCCCTGAGGGAGCCTGTGTCCCGGCCTCTCCTGGCATTCCCTGGCTGGGATGCTCATCACTGCCACTGGCCTCTGTCTTCACCTGACATCCTCCCTGTGTCCCGAATCTCCCTCCGATACTGGACCTCTGGATCCACAATGGTCTCACCTCAGTATCTGGTCACTTCTGTCCAGGAMCTTTGCCCAAACAAGGTCATGTTCGCAGGTTCCAGGGGCCTGGTGCAACCTCCGCAGTGAGCCTCAGGCATGTCCAGCTTCAAAGCGCAAGGCCGGCTCAGCCTCCCACCAGCCCCATGGAGCAGGGACTCTCAGGAAGGGCTTCCGGCCCAGAGCACAGGGAAGGCTTGCCACCGAGTCACCACCCACACCTGCAGGTGCACAGAGCCAGTCTCGGCTCGGCCTGTACATGCCCCACAGCGGGCGCCCTGCCTCTCTGCTCCTCGGCACCGTCGCCCCTTCCCCGCCTCCTCTCTCCCCCACCCCACCTGGAAGCTCCAGCTCCTGCTCCCACTCCTCCTGGCGTCTCCCCACCCTCCTGGCTCCTCGCCCTCCTCCACCATGCAGGAGAACCCCTGGAACAGCCCTGATCACGCAGGGTCTCCGCCCAGAGGGCCCCACCTGGCTCTGGGCTCACCTTCTCCTGGTGCCTCTGGCTGGCCAGTCCCAGGCTCCTGGCCTGTCCTCCAGTGGATGTGGCCAGGGATGCCCACTGGTGCTGAGCCCCGGGGAGTGTGAGCTCCAGAGAGAAGGCCCAGAGATGAGCATAGGCCCATCAGGAAGGGAGAGGGAGGTCCTCTGGAGAAGGGGCCTGCAGCTGACCTCCCATGCTGGCCACGAGGGAACTGCTCCATCCAGTGAGTCCTGACCCTGCACAGCTGCTGGGAGCCAGCTGGCCTGAGCTGCTGGACCAGGAAAGCCACTGGCATGCAGCTCCATGTAGACCCTCTCATGTGACACACACACACACACACACACACACACACACATACGCTCGCACTCGAGTGTGCAATGCACACGGCTCTGTCAGCCTGCAGGGCGACCCTCTGCTTCTCAGTCAGGGGGCATCTGCTGGAGTCCACTGCCCAGGACCTGTTCTAGTGGAATCTCCTGCTTACTCTTCGACCTTCTTGAACACATAATCTTCTGAATCAAATAACAATTTCTCCTCATTGACTTTACAGCTTTTCTCCTTTTGTGTGTGAACGTCTTGGCTTCTTCAGGGAGTCAGGGCTTCTCTGAGATCAATGATGAATTCATAAACAAGCACTCGCAGGCTGTGGTGTGCTGGGCTCAGCATGGCCCGCCCTGCCCCTCCTACCTACTGGTGCCCTGGGCTTGAACCAAAACCTAAACCTAGCTTGTGCCACTGTCAGAGCTGATCCATGCAGACCACCCAGAAGACTCCTGCTTTTCTCTGTCATGCGGGAAGTACTTCAGGCAGATCTGGGGACAGTGCTAATGGGCTCTGCTCAAACCCCTTCTCGCACAGCCCATTAGCTCTGCGTCCGCCAGGCCCCCACCAGCCTCTCGCCAAGAGCCAGGGGGAGAAGGAAGAGCGGCAGAGCCTCACTGCCTGCTCAGCCCTGGTGTGCACCAAACCCTTCCCCGAGGCAGCGTCTCTCTTAGGATACATCTAAGAAGAGCAGATAATTAAAAAAAAAAAAAAAAAAACAGTGCTAATGATTAAAACTAAAATTTCTTTGGGAGGCAGGGACTTGCAGAAGGCCCCAGAAACCCTTCTGAAGTCTGAGAAGACAGCCCAAGGTTCCAGACCTGCTAAGCCTGCTGGTCAGCCTGTCTGAGGGCCCAGGCCAGCCAGGGGACATGATGGGCCAGTTCTGGGCTGGACTCCAGGGCCCTGTGAGTGCTGGGAGGGGAGCTCCTACTTTGGGGTCCTTGGTCTCTGCAAACCTGTGCCTGCAGTTTGAGGGTGGACGAGGAACTGATGGACAGTATTTGTGTCTGGCCTCGACTCCAGTGTCCTCCTGCCACTGCCTGTGCATCCCCTTAGGAGAGGCCACCCCAGCCCTGCTCCTGGAGCTGAAATGAGCCACGGAGGGGAGCTGCAGACTCTCCCGAAGGGAGCCTGGCGTTTAGACGATGGTATTCAATCTGAGCAACCCTGGACTCCTGGGCCAGACACGTGATGAATTCATAAACCAGCGCTCGCGGGCTGTGGTGCGCTGGGCTACCCTGTTTGGCTGCATCAGGCCTGTCTCTCCCCTAGATCTACTAACTTTCCGGAACTTTCTGCCTTTCAAGTGTTGGCAAGATGAGCTGCTGCTTGCTGCCAATGCTGATCTACTGTTGGCTCCTGTCAGTGTCCTCATGGCGAGCCCACAGGCGGGCAGGGGGGGACACTGAGGTCTGGGGGKCCCTGGGAGGCCACCTCATCTCAGCAGAGGACCGTGACATTCAGCAGCTTCTTAAGGGGCCCACAATGCAGAAAGCAGGAGGAATCCCTCCAAAGGGTGGTGTGGCTGTCCAGCCTCTAGTGCCCCTGTGGCCACCGCCCTGGCTCCATGCATGACCTCAACCTGAGTGTCTGTCCCCAGTCTGCCCACCGTGGTGGTATAGAGGGGGACAGAAGCTTCCCTGGCCCAGGAGCCCATCACCAGGACCAGAGCTGAGCTCGCCCCTTTGGGCAGAAGAATCAGGTTCCTAACTGAGTGCGGCCAGGCTGCCACTGGACCCAGGTGGCCCCGGTGGGAGGGTCATCAGGAAGCCCCTCCCTTTGCTTTTCCTTCAGAATCTGTTCCTGTTTCACCTTTAGCCGAGCTTGATGAGGAGCAGGATAGCCTRCTGAGGTGGGATTACAAAGTGACAAAGCTGACCTCTCCTTCCTCCAGGCCCACTCTACCCTGGAAGCCTCCTGCAGGCCACGCGGGGAGGATGGGGGGCAGCGGGCTGGGAGCGCCCAGACCCAGCTCTGCTAACCGTTAGCTGGGCCTCTTGATTGCTGTCTGGGTGAGGTCAAGGTTTTCTCCTGGTTAACTGCTCTGGGAGCTTAAAGAGAAGCTTTTATCTTAATGAGGTTTCAGTGCTTGCCGAGGAAGCGTGGCCTCGCTGCATTTCAGTGCCCAGGGCCACATGTCCCCGTTCCTTCTTTGGGGGATAAAAGACTCTCATATCCTCAGCTGGCACTGGGCCGTGAAGAGGAGTGGACGTGGGCGAGGGTGGGGACGTGGGGTGGGGGTGGGGCTGCCACGCTGTAGATACAGCACAGACAGACGGGGCTCGAGCTTGCCGGGAACATGCCTGGGGTGACAGAGTCCCTGTGGCCCAGCCGGGCAGGTGGGGCCATCCTACTGTCAGCAGAGTGGGCCAGAGCCTCTGCCAAGGGCCCGTCCTCCCCGGGGCCCCTGGTCACCAGGTCCTCCCAGTCTCTCCGCGGTGACCCCCTGCTGTGTCTCTTTGTCACTAGTGGAAGGACTCAAAGTGTTGGAGATTGAGAAATGCAAGAGTGACATTAAAAAGATGAGGGAAGAACTGGCGGCCAGAAACAGCAGGTAAGATCCGCGCTGGGGGCCTGGGCGGAGCCTGTCTGGGGCGGTGGACTTGGTGTCCACAGAAGAAGGGCTCGTGCGACTCGCCCCAGCTCCAGCTTTGGCCCCCCGGGCTGGAGGGAGCCCCACTCTCCTGGGACCTACTGTTGGAGCCCGAGGCTTTCCTACCATAAAGGGTGTTCATGGCTGATCGAGGCGGGAAGGTGACCTCGCGTGAGGGGACCCTCCTGCAGACCCAGTGTGCACAGGAGTCCACTTGGCTGGAAAGGTGTGGACACCGATTTTTAAAGAAAAAGAACAATAAGAATGCACAGGTATTTGGCTTACCAGGCACAAACATCTAGGTGCCCCCGTCCTCATCCCCAGGCCAGGGGACATCCCCACAACACAGGCATCAGGGAACAGTATGGTGAGAGCACCAGCCATCAGGACAGAGGGACACCGGGGGGACCAGTGAACCGTAGTTCAGACAAAACATGCCTGAGGTTCATCAGTGCCTCCTCAAAAGTCTATCAGAAGGACCCTCCTCCAAAGCTGTGGTCACCGTAAGCATGGGCCAGCCATGCACAGCCTGGGGACAGAGCCACACGGTAACAAYGTGGCCATGACGGGCAGACACATGCCTGAGCCCACACAGCACTAAGGCTCTGGCTGATCCACTGAGGGACCCCTTCACCTCCCATGTGGTCTCCACCCAGGAGCTGAGCCCCTGAGTAATAGCTGAAGGCCACACTGACTATGACCACAGCTTTGGCAGARGGTCCTTCAGATGGACTTCTGAGTAACTACTGCAGGGCCTCACAGGGACCAGTGAGGGGGGAGCAGCCCTGGGCAAAGGCACACTTTTTCTCAGGGCCTCCTAACGTGTTGAGAACCGTGCCTGAGCACAGGGGGCCGAGGAGTGAGGAGGGCAGACCTGCAACAGGTGCAGGAKACCTGTCACGGCCAGCACCTGGCCTCTGGGGGAGGACGCTGAGCARCTCACCTCCTGAATCACACCCCTCCACGTCATCACACTGACCTGGTGACTGATGGGCCTTGGGAATGTCTGGTGCCCTTTGATTTGGAGAATGTCAAGGTAAAGGAGTTTGTGACCACGGGAAAGACGAGTTAGYGGTTTGTCTCTGTTGTCCCCATGCTAGAGGCTCCTCAGGGATGGGAGTCCCTCCTGGGTGGCCTTGGGAAGAGACCAGAGTTGCTCAGCGCACAGCGTCACACAGCTGGGCCAGCGAGRCTAGGACCTGGCTGGGCAGTCTGAGGCCCAAGGCACAACCCAGCCTTGGCATCACCCATTTCCCCCGGCCCAGGTGAGGGCAGGTGGCCTTGGGCAGGGATCATGGGTTGGCAGGTCTCCTCGCCAGCCCAGCCAGCAGCCTCAGGGCAGTCGGGCTGCAGCAGGTGCCTGGGCTCCTTCAGGCTCCTTCGGGCTCCTCCGCGCTCTGCAGGAAGCGCATTCTTAGAGCTCCCAGCGCCACAGCTGAGGAGGTGCCTTCCCAGGGCCTGTGAGCCTTCTAGGCACGGAGTCCTCAACTCTCCGTTCCGGCACGTCCCAAGTAGGTGAGGCAGATCCGGGGACTCCCATCCGGAACCAGAGGGGGTCAAACCCATTAGGAAAACAAACCCAGGGCCCAGTCCACCTGGTGCTGGAGCCCACAGCCCCTCRGGGACCCCCCAAAGCAGCCCCTCCCTGCTCTCTAGAATAGCAGGCTCAGAGCAAGGAGCCATGAGCGGCGGAGGGAAGGGTCCATGTAATCACGAGTGAGTCTCGTAGCGGCTCCGGCCCTGGGTGCTGGGCCCTTGGAGCGCAGCTTCACCTCCCTGGTCTGCAGGGAGAGCCTGTGTCCTTGCTGAGCAGCCCTTCCTCGTGAGCCCACACAGCACTAAAGCTCTGGGCTGATCCACTGAGGGACCCCTTCAGTGGATGTCAGCCCAGCCCAGGGCCCAGGTTTTGCTTCTGGGGACACAGAGGGGAGAACAAGGGCACCAGGAGGGGCAGAGCCCAACCCGACGCCCACAGGGTRGCAGATGCGCCTGACAGGCTGACCTACATTCACCCACACACAAGCACATCCCTGGGTTTCTCGAGGTTGTTTCAAGAGGACAGAGGTTCAGAGGGTTCTCTGGCTGCAGCTGCCCTGGCTCCAACACTGCTCAGGCAGAGAGCCGGCGGGAGAGGGCCGGAGACCTGGGATCTCCACTTTCACCCCAAAACCAAGGCCTTGACCACTGGACTGAGCCCCAGGGAGGGGAGGATGGGACGGCAGGGAAATGAAAGCAGATAAGCTCCAAGTGGAATGAAATGGAAAGGCACCCTGCCAGCTGCCCCACGTGTTCCCGTGGCAACGGGGCTCAAAGAGGGCTGCTGGCCTCGATCGGCTGGCACCCAGCAGTCTCTCTGCTCCCACGGCTGTGGTTGCCAGGAGGGAGCCAGGTTCTGGCAGTCAAGCCATCCTGCCTGCTGGGGGCCTGCAGGACCCTCCTGGGGACGCAAGATCTTGAGGAAGCATGGGTTGGAAAGGCAAAAAGGGGCAGCAGTGCTCCCCGGTTTTCCCACTGCACAGGTCAGTCTCCCCTGCTCAGAATGAGTGAGTAGGTTTCCTGTGTACAGGGCAACGTGGAAACGCTTTGATTGGCACATTTGGTCCTTTGGTTATTGTTTTGCTAGGTCCGGATTAGAATCTGCTCTGTACATCAACGTGCTGTAGCAGCTCTGATGATTTGTCAAGTGTGGACTCTGAGCRAGGCCCAGCAGCTGGCCAAGACAATAACAGAGACAGCTCTGTTTCACAAATGAAGAGGTTTGTTACTCTGAGCTTGAAAATAGCTTAGGCTCTTGGCAAAGCCCCAGACTACCCGGACGGGGACTCTGGTGGTCACCAGCAGCCACAGCAGCCAGCAAATGCTCCCAGCAGCCAGCAAATGCCCCCAGCAGCCAGCAAATGCCCCCAGCAGCCAGCAAATGCCCCCTGCAGCCAGCAAATGCCCCCTGCAGCCAGCAAATGCCCCCAGCAGCCAGAAAATGCCCCCAGCAGCCAGCAAATGCTCCCTGCTTAAATCTGGATGTAAGCTTCCCAGGAGTTTCCATGTGTATTTATCCAGTTTTGAAAAACAACTAAAATGTACTGTTTCGTGATATTTTTTCACTCATTATGAATGAATAATGGAATAATTTTATCCAACATGCAGCTCATGGATGTTTCTAGAAGGCCATGACCCAGCACTTTGTTAACCACCAAACGTGCCCTGCCCTGGCCTCCCTACTGTGGGTGGCCTTTCACTTTCCCCTCACGTGAACCTCCCTTGCTTCATATCATAGCCACAATCACCTTGATACTGATGTAGCCATCCTCCATGTGGATGAGCCAAAGTGGCTTGAATCATTTCCCACCGGAGGCCTTGAGGTGGCCCCTGGGGTGTTCTGCGTTGTAACAGCAGACAACGCTGCACAACCTCTTTGTGCACAGAGCTATTTACTCGTGTCTAATTCTTTCTTCTTAAGATCAATCTCCCTAAGCAGAAGTACAGACTTAAAGGCTGTGCCTTCCTCTGTAGCTCTTACTGCCCAGGATAAATGGCTTTTCCAGAAGGTAGAGCTTTGTTTACTGATGTACTGGCCCCTGCACACCACAGGGTGACTCCAGGCTGCCCAGGGGTCCCACCTCTGCAGCCCTCCTCTGGACAAGTGGGGAGCATGCTCACTTCTAAGCTGATTGAGTTCCAACCCTGATTCCTGGTCTGCCCTGGCCAGGGAAGCCAGAGCTCCTGGGGCCACCTCTACAGGCAGCCCCGGGGACAGCCCTGCAGGCCAGCACACTCCAAAACATACGCAGCTCATTTCCTTCTCATGTTGAGTGGGGAAGAAAAACTAAGAAATTTCAGCCTTCAACATTGTAGGCAGGGAAACTGCAAACACCTGAAGGCCCAGCTCTGGGGCCTGGACTGCAGCAGGTGCTGCAGACACACTYGGAGGACCGCACAAGTGCTTCTCATCCACTGGAAAATGAGTCCAGCTTGTGAAGCCACAGGGACTAAGCGCCTGGCGTTAGGTGGAAGTAGCAAGTTGCCGCACAGTAAATTTGGTCCAGTTCCCTCTTTGTTCAGAAGTACAAGTGGCTCTCCATGGGGTCCACGCCCAGGTGTGCTCTGCAAGGACACACCAAACTGCTCACAGAAGGCACCCCCCGGGAGTGGGYGCAGGGGAAGGAGCGAGTCATTGAAGACGTGGGGGTGTTTCCTCTGCACTCCTGTGTGTCTGGACTTGTTAAAATAAGAAAGTTCTGCCTATATCATTAAAACGAAGAAGAACTTTTAGGGCTGAGGAGGAAGCCCAGTGGTAGAGGAGCTGCCTCGCATGTGTGAGGCCCTGGGTTTGATCCCCAGCACTGTGAGGCAGAGGAGTGTCACCATGGACAGAAGGTGTGACTTATGCAGTCGAGGGGAGAGATAATGAATGTCCATGCACTTCTGCCCTTGTCAAGGCTTTATTCACTTAAACCACTTAATACAATTTCACTCTATAGGTTCTTATGGAATGACAATCCTTAACTCTGGGCATGGCAATAGACATAATCAGTTCACAGCAAACAATTTTGGATTAAATCTAAGCACTGCAAACACACTTAATCACGACAGACTCGTGACAGACATTCCCTCTGCATGCAAAGCTCAAGTGTCAGATCAGAAGTCTCAAGTCTTAGGCTCTGAGTCCAGCAGATGCACAGTCAGACCACGGTGATCAGGTCAGGAACCAAGGTAGGCTTTTCCTGGGTGGAAGTGACGGCTGGCTGAGGAGAGGGTCATAGGGAGAAGTTGCAGCTCTCACAGGGCCAAATGTGGCTGTAGGGTTTGAGGGTGGTGAGAACAATGCCGAGGATCAGGCACATGGGAAGAGTTGGGATGTCAGTCCAGGTCCTCATCAAGCTCTCAGGGTTGTCTACGTCAGTGTCAGCTGGCTGAATGCTCATTTGCTCCAATATTTATACTAAATTTTGGGGCTTCTGACCCCCTTTCAATCCCTATCAGCTGCTACCACCAGGTTTCGCAGTGAGGTCATTTGCCCTGGGTTAAAGCATCTGGTCTGGTGGTCCCCACCCTGATTTTCTTGCCTTTCCCCCTTATTGAGGTGAGGAAAACGTAACAGAGACTTCACTCTGAGCTTGTCAGGGTGGGGGAAGTGACCGGTTGGTGCCTGAGGCCACACTGGGGGGCTCTGTGGGTGTGCCTGGGGAGACGCAGGTTTCAAACTGGAGTTTTAAAGTGGAGTTGCTTGGGCTCAGGCCTCAGGCCATCCTTACAAGGGGGTGGGCGGAGGAGGAGATTTAGAAGCTTGTCTAAAGCTGGAAAGAGACTCCTCACCTGACTCTGGTGTTTTCCAAGAGCCCGTATGACAGCCCAGGTCCAACCAGGGTCCACCAGCCCCGTGCCGCTGCCTTCAGGACTCCACTGCAATGAGACCAAGTCGTGTCTGGGGCCCGGGGGCTGGCTTTGGGGTTTCGTTCGCTCTTGCTCTGATGGGGTGCCGGTGCCCTGCACAGGGGAGCCCCAGGCCTGAGGGCAGTGCTGCCACTGATGTCCACCTTTTCTCCTCAGGACAAGCTGTCCCTGTAAGTATAGCCTTTTGGATAACAACAAGAAGTTGGTTCCTCGAAGAGATGTCCCCACCTATCCCAAGGTGAGCTGGAAGTCCAGCCTRGGGAAGGCAGCAGCTCTGTGTGCCAACCCCCTGGCCCAGGAGCCCCACGGACATTGATAAAAACAGGTCTCTGGCTGCTCAAGGGTGGGTCACTCTCTGGCAGAAGGTTTTTCTCTTTGACCTCCTGACCGCTGGCCGAGTCTCTCAGCACACTGGGCTGACTCTGTAAGAGGTGTTTGCACTCAAGAGAGGTTGAACTTGAGGGCTGGGCTGTSGCTCGGTGGCAGAGCACTTGCCTGGCAGGTGGAAAGCACTGGCTTCGATTCTCAGCACTGCATATCAATCAGTAAAGGTCCATTGACAACTAAATTATCAAAGAAAAAAAAATGTAGGTTGACCTTGAATGTTTGAATTTTCTAAAATGCACTTGGTTGGATCTCCTGTCCCTGAACAATCCCACAGTTTTAATGGAGACTCTCCTCAGGTTATCAAAGCAGCCAGGCCCTTGGTTCAGTAGCCCTGCGCTGGGACTGAGCTATTAAGGAAGTGGGCTGTTAAGAAAGGTCGCCTTCGCAGCTGTGGCCTCGGGTGGTGAGCCAGCCAACCCCTGGCTCCTACTCTTAGCTGAGACTGAGGCACTGGGCCCCACAGTCCGAGTGGCGGCCAAGGCCTCCAGGAGCCTCCGTGTGGGCCTGGGGGTCGGTGAGTGGTTTTTTGGCGAGGTTTGGCCATGCGCGGAATGTGATTGGAGACTTTCCTCTGGAGACCAGTGTCTCTCTGCAGGAAAACAGGACCCACATCCCTAGTGACCCTGTCCCAGGACTCACCACGCACGGCCCAGGCCAGTCCTCCAGGCCAGCCCCTTCTTAAGAAAACCAACAAAAGACCTGGGAGAAGGCCACAGCAGATGCCACAGGCCGTGTCTTCCACACCCTGAACGTGGGGTGTGCGGCGGAGCTGGCCTTAGGCTCAGCCCCATCGGCAAGTGTGTGGCTGAGCCCACAGCTGAACCCTGGTGGATCCAGCATCTGAGTTGCATCTGCCGTGTGCTGAGGGCCCGTTCCCCCTGGGCTTCTCTTTCCTGTGTTTTTATTGTCGGTGTGTGACACCTGATTGACGATGGGTACAGCTCGTCTTCTCTAGATGCAGAGTGCTGTGAATTCTGACAGACGTCTACACACACAGACCTCTGCCACGGTCAAGATAGGGAACACTTCCATTGCCCGGGGTCCCAGGCCTTGCCCTCCTCTGGCCACCGTGATGCAAGTCCATTCAGTTGTTTTACCTCTCCAGAGGAAGGCACCATGGGTCTGTGCACAGTATCTGTGCAGGGGATCAAGGAGCACATGCCACCATCTGCATCCGAGGCCACTGGCCTCTGTCTGCACACACCTCAGGGCCTGGTTAACTTGAACTCCTGTCCTCCTAGTACCTGCTCTCTCCAGAGACCATYGAAGCCCTGCGGAAGCCCACCTTTGACGTCTGGCTGTGGGAGCCCAATGAGGTAGGTGAGGGCACCATGGGTGCCAGGGTCACGGGGGGATGCTCAGGACCGTGGACCCTCACCGGGAATGTCACAACTGCTTGTCCTCCTCTGTGCTTTCTCTTGTCTGCTCTTCTCTATAGAAGAAAACCCTGGGTCTCCAGGTTTTAGTTCAAACTAGTACTTCATAGGCTCAGGAGGGCCCAGGAGATGGGACGGCAGTTGGGTGGGGAGCTTCCACACCTGGAGTCCTGACCCAGGCGGCTGCACGGCCACCAGACACATGGACACRTGGGATTCGGGGAAAGAAGAGTCACTTCTGGCACCCAGCTGTTTCTTCAAAACTTCCCATGACCTGAGGAGCACAAAAAAGCAGTCTTTTTTTTTTCATTTGAGTCTATTTCTCTAATAATATCAGACATGCCCTTCTCTGTCCACACCCCAAGAAAAGAAAAAGTCCCCTCATCTTGGATGGACATCAGASCCAGCTATTTTCAACCCACCAAAATCTGAGGACTCTGTGGCTTTTCAGCAACACAGAAGCCTGGGGACCCAGCCCGAGTGTGCTCACCTGCAGCCACAGAGGCTCCCGCAGTGAGACTTGGCACCGTTAGGATTCACGACTCAGGGTTACCGATACCAGGCTACCAGAATCTCCGAGGCTCATGCTCCACATATGTGGTCTCCCAGTGCACGCCGGCCAGCAGAGCCAAGACCCAGCCTCTGCTCCCCACGCCAGTTCCCCCAGGAGAGCAGCCCACAGATGCTGCAGAGCATCAGCAGCCCACAGTCTGCACCCAGCACCCAGGCTGCAGGACTGGAGCAGAAATCATAGGAGCAGGATGGGTTGTAAGTGGGCAGCCCTCCTAGCCCTGAGTGTGGAGGCCCAGGGAGCGGAGGCAGAGCCTGAGGAGCAGTGTGGCACGCAGCTCCCCTGAGGCTGGGCACAGCAAGTCCAAGGCAAGTCACCCCACAACAGAGCGCCTAGAGCGYCAGGAATCCTGCTCCCGCAGGGGCCAGCATGGCTCTGGCTCTTCCTCTAGGAAAGCCACCTCATGTGAGTTCAGCCCACTGCAGTGCCGCAGAGCCAGGACGAGGGATGGACAGCCTCACCGTCCCTTCAGCCACCTTCCTCCTCATGGAGCATCTGAGCATGGAGCTGCCCGTGGCTGGAGTGGTGGAAGCTTCGCCCCATGAGTTGAAGGGTTCATGCACCCATGAGAAAGCCCACTTGTCTTTGTCCTCCAATTTGCAGAGTGTTTAYAGCCGTTCTCAGGGCTGCCAGGTGCCAGTTCCTGCAGCTTGACCAGCCCCTGTGTGGTGTCTCCCACTGCCCATGGCTTTGGCCAGGAAAACTGGCAAGGTAGTTCCAGAAGTGTCCAGCTGCCTGCTGTGACAAACCAGGGGTTCCCAAAGCCTGGGGCCTTGGCCTCTGGTGAATCGGGCGATGCCGGGAATTTGTGAATAGGAAGAATGACAACTGGCGGGACAGACCGAGAGCACGTGAAACTGCCTCTAGCCATCAGTAAGCCTCACTCCCTTCCAGTGGGGCAGTCCTGCCACCCAGCAGCCAGGCACAGTGTCCCACCCATCCCAAACCAGACAGAACAGGACCTCAGGCTGCCCTGGTGCCTCTGATCTGTTAGGGCTTCCTCCCGGGCTGGGACAGCAGGCATGGTGGCTCTGTCATGTTGCTGGGGCCCCCTTATAATTCTGCCCCTCACAGTCACGCAGCCCACTCAGCCCAGCACCACCACAGCGTCTGGGAGCTGCGCTCGCTCGGGGACATGGTTCAGGCCTGCAAGCAGGGAGCAGATGGGCCGTCCCTGCACCATGTTGGCACCAGATGGTTTGTCTGCCAGCTGCCTTTGTCTCCAGACTCTGATTTCACAGCAAACACTTCAGTTCTTCAGGGCCGATTTGAGCAGGGTCTGGGCTAGTGGGGCGGGAGCAAGGGGTCTCAGACCCCGTGGTCCTGAGGCTGACATCCAGGACAGTGGGAACACRGGCAGCTCTGGACAGCGAGGCCCCCGGCTGGGTGACCTGGGCAGCTGCTGTGCAGCAACCTGGATCCAGCCCTCTAATCCTCATCCRGGCCCAGATGCCAGCCCTCTGTAAGGGGCTCCTTAGGGGCCACCATCTCCCAAACCTGGCCCCCTTCACATTAACCACGCCTGTACAGTCCTATCAGGGAAGATGAGCCTGCAGATAGCTCGCTTCCAGGACGTCCCAGGTGTGACATCTCAAGCCGCCACATGTGGCCCGTGATAGTGTCCAGCCTTCCAAATGGACTGACTCTCCGTGATGCCACAGAATCTGTTCCCTATCCTGAAGACACTAAGAGATCAGTGTTACCGAATCTGTCTCCCCTGCCGYGCCCGCTTCTCCTGCACTGCTGACCACGCGAGAGTGCGTGTCAGTGGCACCCTGCCGTCCTTCGCTCAGGTGGCCGAGGCCAAGTGCACACACTGGACAGCTTACACTATGGGAACTTACTGTCTCACATTCTGGAGGCTGAAGTTGGCCAAGGTCAAGGTGCCTCCAGGCGGATTCCGCCTGTGGCTCATAGATGGCATCTTCCTGCAGGGCGGTCCGCGGTGTGTGTCTGCATCCCGATTTCACAAGGACGGGTCGTGGTGGATCAGGGCCACCCCAGTRACCTGCTGCCCTCCCACCTCTGTAAAGGCCCTGTCTCCTCATGTGGTCAGGCCGGCTGTCARCTTTGACGTGCCTGGTGGACACAATTCAGCCCCGGATGTGACCTTCCCACAGGGTGCACCCAGGGGAGAAGCGTGCTGGGCTCCGGCAGGGACAGCCACTGCCACGTGCAAGCACCAAGCCATGGATGGACAGACGGAGGCAGGCGCCGTCACTGGGTCCTGCCACACGCCCTCGGGAGCTGCCTCRGTATCCCCATTCTGCAGATCTCCATGGGCTCTGCGTCCGAGACCTGCTTTCCCCGGGAAACAGCCGGCGCTTGTGGAGCTCCCTGATTTAGAATCACCTGTCTCTTCCTCCCTGGCTTAATGAACTCCAGGACAACAGGGCTACACAAACCGTTTCACCTTGAACAGGGTCTGCAGACAGCAGAGTTCCCTGAAATCACCTTTAGGAGGAGCCCTTRCCCCAGCGCGGCCCACACTGCAGACTCTGTGATTAGGACATTAGAAAACGTCCCTGGTCCCATTATGCTCCCCAGAGGAGCATCATTTAGCACTTTTTATATGTAAACCATCAAACTCCTTTGATCCCTCAGCCACAGTCAAGTGACGGGCTTCCGCTCCAGGAGGTGCCCGTCCCCAGGTGTGCGCTGGGTGAACTGCACCCTAGGACTCTAAACTATGCTATTGACCTGCGTGCTTTCCAGGGTAGATGTTAATAAAGTGATTTCTGTAGTCGTGGGGAGTGGGGGACCCCACCCAGCCGCTCTTCCTTCTTGTGTGAACCTCAATAGCTTCTGAACTGGCTTCCCCAATCCAGGAGACCGGTCTGTGCTCCCAGACCCCACACCCCACTTGGGTGATCCTGGAGGCACACCCACTGATCAGGACCCACTCTGAGGATAAGAGCTCACCCTCCCTGGGACGGGTCACACCACTGGGTCACCCTGGTGGCATTTCCCAGGACAGTGCAGGGAGCTGGAGTGGGCAGCTGGCCTCCCTTCTCCCAGTGCTGACCGCGGCCCTTTGCCCACAGATGCTGAGCTGCTTGGAGCACATGTACCATGATCTCGGCCTGGTGAGGGACTTCAGCATCAACCCCATCACGCTCAGGCGGTGGCTGGTAAGTGTCCCGTCCACTCTGTCCTCGGGCAGACCCTCCAGCCACACTGGAGTCGGGGCTGCACACCTCCTGGGGGACTGCTACCAAGGGAGGCGTCATTTCTGTGCAAGTTCTGCAAGGACTTTAGGGCATTGGGCCCATCTCTGTCTTCCCACCTGCCCTGGGCCCCCCAAGCTCCCACTTGGAGGAGCAAAGAAATAGCTGAAATCAGAGTCAGAGAGGCAAGTGAGGTGGAATGGGCTCCGGCAGAGCGTGTGCGTGTGCGTGTGTGTAAAAAGTTAGACAATTGCTCAGAACTGAGCATTAAAGACCTGTGGGATGGTGAGGGGACCTTGTGCCCCTCATGTACTGTCCCCTGCCCGCACCCAACTTTGCTTCCCAGCAAGGCTTATCACACACCCCGTGGACACCTCAGTCCATGCCCAGTGACCAGGGCAGGGCCCATGGACGTTCTCAGGCTCCAAGGGTCCCTGGTTTCTACAGCAGCAAATTCAGGGACGCTCTGGCCTCGGTTCGGGTGGAGCTCCCCTGATCCTCCTTGGGGCCATCTGGGGGCAGGGTGGGCAGGGTGGGCAGGCCAGGCACAGGGCGGCTCTGACTTTCTGGCCTCCACAGCTCTGCGTGCACGACAACTACAGAAACAACCCGTTCCATAACTTCCGGCACTGCTTCTGCGTGACCCAGATGATGTACAGCATGATCTGGCTCTGTGGGCTCCAGGTGCGTCCCCCCACGGCCACCCAGCTGTCTCCCAGCAGGGGAGCAGCAGCACCCTCCCCAGAGATAGCCACAGGCCTGGGGTCCCAGCTGTTCCACCTGTGTGAGGCCACTCCCAGGATCGAAAGTYGCTGGGTCCCACCTCCCCACCCCAGCCAGGCTCTGGGTCCTCCCTCTCCCGGCCTAGGGGCTCCTGTTGGCTGGAGGGCAGCGTGTCCTGCCTGTCACTGTCTCCCACCACCCCACCCCTCCTCGGCCAGCCCTGCTCCCTGTGAAAAGGGCAGAAACTGAACGCTGTCCCTCCTCCAGGAAAAGTTTTCCCAAGTGGATATCATGGTCCTGATGACAGCGGCCGTCTGCCACGACCTGGATCACCCGGGGTACAACAACACGTGTGTACATGCTTCTTTCTCCTTTGCTCTTAAACGTGCCCCTGGCCATCAGGGAACCCTCCAGCCTGACCCCCAGACGGTTCCCATCCAGGGATGTGGAGGAAGGCCCCCCAGCTCTGCCCCTGCAGGACACAGCTCCCAGCCTCCCCACCTGGTCCAGGGCCTGGGCCTCCCCTGAGGGGAGCCTTCAGGGTAACCAGCAGAGGAGGGTGGCCGCCCCCAGAGGTGGCCCATCGTGGGGCTGTGGGGCCAGGAGGAAGGGCAGAGCCCTGAGCCCCTCCTGCTGTGGGGCAGAGTGCCGCCCGCCCAGCCAGCAGGGCCCAGCATGTGGCAGGGGCCTGCATTCACAGTGACCTGTGGGTCCTTCCTCATGAAYCTGTGTGTCTGTGCCATGACATAAGTGTCCTGAGAGCCATGCCGTCGTCCGCCAGGACCACAGTGGATTCCAGGGTGTGGCCATCTTGCTCCTCAAAGGAGGTGGGCCTCCAGGCAGCCACCGGTTCCCTTCCTGCTGGCACAGGCCGGCGGGGAGGGCCGACCCTCTGCCTCTGACCCAGAACGCAGCTGGTCCCTCTCCCACTCCCGCCTTCGCACAGACTGACGACTGACCGTTTTGCCACCATGCTTGAGGCACTCTGCCAGGGAGAAGCCCGAGCTCGGTGGGTGGGACCTGGCCGGTGGGAGCAGCTGGGAGCCAGGGGCGCTGACAGAGGGGCTCCTGGCAAGGCGGACGGCACCCCCTCCGGGTCGTGRCGCTTCCCTGCAGGCCACCTGCACCTGAGCTCCTCTGCTCTGCCCTCGCACCCCAGGTACCAGATCAATGCCCGCACAGAGCTGGCCGTCCGCTACAACGACATCTCGCCCCTGGAGAACCACCACTGTGCCGTGGCCTTCCAGATCCTGGCCCAGCCCGAGTGCAACATTTTCTCCAACGTGCCTGCAGACGGGTTCAAGCAGATCAGACAGGTGCGTGGGCCAGGGTCCTCTGCATGCAGGGAGGCTGTGGGGACAGCAGAACCCTACTGTCCATGGCTGGAGGCCCCAGAGAGTCCTGGTCACAGCAAAGCCACCAGGGACTCTGGGAACCTGCCCTCCTTCCCTGCCTTCTCCAGGACCCAGAATGGAGAGGGGACCCAGGCTGTGGGCACCTGATGTCCACTGGCCTGCCTATCACAGCCACTCAATTCAACCCCCACCAGCTCATTGAGATGAGCCCTGTGTCCATCTTGTAGTTCAGGACACTGAAGCTTAGACAGCTTGGATCCCTTGCCCCAGGGGGTGTACTCCACGGACAGGCACGTCTGCTCCAACCTGCTGAGCTGACCCCTCCGCCCATAGCTCCAGCTGGGTCACCTGACCATGGCATGGTCAGCCCCACTGCCACCGGCACAAGAAGACCATCCCACCCAGCAGCCCCTGCCCGGGCACCCAGAGAGATGGCCTCCCCCCACAGGTCCCCATGGAGCCTTAATCCCCACAGGTCCCCATGGAGCTCCACCTGCAGACACTGCAGGGAGGGACAGTCCCAAAGTGAACCAGGGAGGGCGGGGAGGGCCCACGGCAGCCGGCCCAGAACGTGTGCCTGTGACTTTATCTGGAAAAGGGTCTTTGCAGAAGGACTTCAGTTCATTTCCAGATGCCAGGGTGGATGCCCAGCTGGGCCTGAACCAACAAGTGTCCTCCTCGGGGACAGAGGAGGACAGGGCACACACAGGAGGCAGAGACCAGAGTGATGTGGACACAAGCCAGGGAAGGCCTAGGCCCACCAGCAGCTGGACAGGCAGGAGGAACCCTTCCAGATTCTGGGAGACCCTGTGGACAGCACTCTGGACTCYGGCCTCCAGGACGCAGGGGACACATTTCAGCAGTCGTGTGCTGCCCCGGGGGGGGGGGGGCTCTGCAGGCAGGCCAGGACACAGGCTCCAGGAGCAGCTGCTGCCCTCCATCCCACGGGACTTGCCCTCTGTCTCAGGCCCCTCACCCCGCGGCCAGCACAGCGGGGGAAGCCCGGCCCCCTCACTCCAGCAGAGAGCCGTGGCCTGAGCGCCACCAGGCCCCTCGGTCCACAGCCGAAGTGCAGAGCCAGCCCCGGGCTTGGTCAGGTCCCTGCTGCACCACGACCCCTGGCCCCACATTCCCATAGGCCGTCTGCCCTCTCCTCCGTGTTCTTGGAGCAGCGGCAAGCTCGTGCCATGGTGGTGATGGCAGGCTCTGGCCAGCCTCCYCCTGAAGGGGCTAGCTGTGAGGGGACGTCCACCGCATGGCGGCTGCTGCCTGGGCCTGCCCAGCAGGGCTCCTCCAGTAAGGGGGCCTGGTGTCTGGCTGGGGGCCTGCTAGGCAGCATGCAGAGAGGGCTCGCCTGACCGCACACAGGCTCTTCCCCATGGTGGCCACCCAGGGACCTACAAGGACCGTCCTGCTTCAAAACCTTACTGGGGTGAAGACTTTCTCTAGGAGTAAAATCCAGTTGTTGCAATTTAAAAAAAAAAAAATCTTATCATTGAAGATTCTGAGGATAAGTGGACAAATCCTTTAGAATAACAGATTTTTACATCGGTATTACATAATTCAAAATGCAGGTGATGCCCACCCCAAAAGAATGTATATGTGGTGTTCCCTATATTAATTATATTTAATTATATTTAATTATATTTGATGCTGGTGGTTTTATTTTCTTGGAAAAGTAGAACACCCCACCTGGCAGAGAGGCTCTGTAAATGTCTGTGGGAGGGATGGAAGGATGGATGGATGATAGTGATTTTGACTTGTGTGACTTTTCCCGAGCCCATATTTGGTTAACAAAGKCGTCATTTTAGGACATTTTCTGTTGCTGTAACAAAATACCATAGGCTAGGTGATTTATCAGGGAAGAAGTTTCTTTCTACTTATAGTTCTGGAGGCTGAAAGTCCGAGAGCGTGGCTCCTGCCTCTGCTCAGCTTCTGGTGGGGGCTGCTCAGCTGAGTGCTTCACCAGGAGCTTAAAGGGCCAGTGAGCGTGAGAGCTCACCCACTCCTTGGACAGTTGTCGCAGTCCCCAGGGGGTGGAGTCCTGGGACCCAAACTCTCCTCAAAGGCCCCAGCACCTCTCACACAGTTACCCTGGGGACCCCATTTCAACATGAGGTTTGGAGGGGCCGACCACGTTCAAACCACAGCAGTAATGAAAACATGGAAGTTAAAAAACTYACTGCCTGCTCGTCTACAAATTGGTTAAGGGTTACTAAATATATTTTTATAATTTCCAAATCACATGTACACATAGAGGTGGTAGAAAACATACCCTTAGAAAGTCCGTTCTCGACTTCAACACGGTCTGGAAGGGACAGGCCCATCTAGACGGCCAAACGTGGGGGAAAGGTCCTGGGCGGAAACGGCTAGATTCCACAAGTCCACCTGTGAGCCCGAGCCAGCCAGTGTCCCTCGGGCCTGCCCCGTGGYGCATGGACCTGCCCTCGCGGCAGAAGCCAGGCCAACCTGAGTGGGGCCCGGGCCTCCCACCAGCTGTGGCCTGGGTGAGTCCCTCTGCGCGTCACATCGCGTCTCCGTGTCTGTAGAGCGAGGACCGCGGTTCTTAGACCGTGGGGAACCATGTCGGGGGCTCAGCGACCGTCCAGGTGGTGCCCCTGCTGACCCTTTCTTCTCTCGCGACTCAGGGGATGATCACGCTGATCTTGGCCACGGACATGGCGCGGCACGCAGAGATCWTGGATTCTTTCAAGGAAAAGATGGAGAACTTTGACTACAGCAACGAGGAGCACATGACCCTGGTGCGTGGTCTTGCCCTGCCCCCGGGGACGGCCGCCCGGGGTCCCAGCAGCCAGCCCAGGCGGGAGACCCGGGGTCACGACTTACAAGGCCAGCTGTGCAGGGCTGCCCCCCAAAGGGCCCTCCTRCGTGGCTAGGACATGTTTCCCCGTGGGCCGGCAGGGCTGGGCTGGGTTCCCGAGTTCCGAGGCACCCCCCCTCGGTGCTTTAAATGGGGGTTTCCTTCCTCGCCCTTTCTTGAAAGACACCTCCTCGTTCTCACACTCCCAGCCTCGGGTCTCTTCTTGGCACCCTGTCCATCGTAGCCTCCTGACAGGGCCTCCTCTCTTAGCCTCCTGGCAGAGCCTCCTCTCTTAGCCTCCTGACAGGGCCTCCTCTCTCTCTGCTGCCTTGACAACCAGGAAATGATGTTTCAACTTGAGGTTTATAGTTGGTATTACAAGTGCCAGTGTCTGATGCCTTGGGGTGGCTGGCGCTCCCAGTCTCCTGGTGGGGGGAGCATGTCCCTCCAGRTGGCACAGCTGCTTCCCCTCACCTGGCCTCGGGGCCAGTTCCCACCTGGGAGGTCACCCCCGCCCCATGCCGCAGCAGTGGTCTACACTCTGATCTGCGTCACCTCCATCCTCTTTCAGCTGAAGATGATCCTGATCAAGTGCTGCGACATCTCTAACGAGGTGCGGCCCACGGAGGTGGCGGAGCCCTGGGTGGACTGTTTGTTAGAAGAGTATTTTATGCAGGTAAGAGACTCGCGAGGCCGAGGGCTCTTAGCGGCCTGCGACATGGGGTCGGGGTGTGCTGGCGTGCCCAGCCCCCACCCCCAGCCTGCAGAACGCCTTCCCGGCAGCAGCCGAGGAGCCGAGGGGCTGAGGCCACCTGTCACCACCGTGGAGCTGCCTTTAGGGGCAGCTCCTCAGGTGAACTGCAGAAAGGTGGAGAAGCGAGAGCCAGAGAGGCAGGGGAGCCCAGGGAAGGCGAGCCTGGGCGGGTCAGCTCATGAGGACAGCACAGGGAGCCGGGACAGAAGCCTGCACAGCCCTGCGATGCCCTGGCCAGGGCGGCCTCGGGCCAGGGCTGCACTGCCCGGCTCCGCACRCCTGCGGAGGCGCCTCCCCCTCCCAGCACACGGTGTTGGCCCCGCAGCTGCTTCCCTTCTGCCTGTGAGGACAGTGACGCTCAGGGTTCCCAGGTCCCATGGCGCCTCTGTCTGCCACACTCCCACAGAGCGACCGTGAGAAGTCAGAAGGCCTCCCCGTGGCCCCGTTCATGGACCGAGACAAAGTGACCAAAGCTACAGCCCAAATTGGGTTCATCAAGTTTGTCCTGATCCCGATGTTCGAAACGGTGACCAAGGTGAGTGGCCGTCACCACAGACTGATGGTGCACCASTGAGACATGCACACGTCTGTGCACATGAGCACACACACACCTGCAAACGGGCATTCACACGTTCACTCACGCACATCCGTACACACACACGTGTCAGTACGTGTACACACCTGCACACACACGTGCATGCGGCCACAGAGCACAGACGCCTCACCGTCTTGCTGTCATGGAGACGGCTGCTGGGGAGCCACTGCACCCTGCGGGGCCCAGCCGCCTTCTGGCTCTCTGGGTGCTGGGCTCCCCTGCACTGTGGGGGACCCACCTGCCGCCCGTCACCACCGGCCCAAGTTCTGGCGCCTGGCTCTCCTGACTCCCAGGCCTCACCCCTAAGGAACCAACCAGAATTGGCGCCTATGGCCACTGCCCAAGGCCTCCACCTCGAGTCCCCCATGTCCAAGACAGAGTCATCGTGCCCTCCCCCAACACCCACCCCCTGTTCTGCCAACCCTCTGGGCGGGGTRTGTCTCAGGGCTGCCCTTCCTCTTCCAGGACCACCAGCCAGGGGGCTTTGGGCAGCCGTCACCTGTGTGTGTCAGCACAGGAACTTCCCGGCCCGTCCCCACCTGTGACTCCCGGGGGCAGGGGAAGGGAGGGGGCAGGGGAAGGGAGAGGACTGGGGGTCCCCCAAGGAGCCGCGGGAGGGGATGGCGCTGGAGCCTGGTAACAGCCCCAGGTACTGGGCTGACCACAAGGCTTCCCACCACTGTCACCTAGGTCTCCCTGAAGGCCCCCACCCAGGAGGGCCACCTGGGGGAAGGGGCTCCTGAGGGATCTGGGAAACCGCAGGCCTGACCGCTCTCTTCCTGAGCGTGCGCCATTGCCCAAGAGCGGTGGACAGACACAGGGCCGTCTCTCTCCGCAGCTGTTCCCYGTGGTGAAGGAGATCATGCTGCAGCCCCTCTGGGAATCCAGAGACCACTACGAGGAGTTGAAACAGCTGGACGACGCCATGCAGGAGGTGAAGGCCACGAGAGGGCTCAGGCAGGCCACACGGAGGGCTCGGGCAGGCCACACGGAGGGCTCGGGCAGGCCATACAGAGGGGTCAGGCAGGCCACACGAGGGGTCAGGCAGGCCACGTGGAGGGGTCAGGCAGGCCACGTGGAGGGGTCAGGCAGGCCACACGAGGGGTCAGGCAGGCCACGTGGAGGGGTCAGGCAGGCCACACGAGGGGTCAGGCAGGCCACGTGGAGGGGTCAGGCAGGCCACGTGGAGGGGTCAGGCAGGCCACGCGGAGGGGTCAGGCAGGCCACGTGGAGGGGTTAGGCTCTGCTGTCACCCAGCCCAAGCCCTGTATGTGCTGGACAGGCAGCACCCAGGCTACCAAGCCACGGGGAGGCCGGGCGTCTGGACGCTCTGGGACAACTGGCCTGTACACGCAGGCCCTGAGGAGCGCTGGGGGACCTGGCTCCTCTGAGGGTTGGCYGCCATGTCTCATCGAGAACCTGGGGGGGGGCACACAGCCTTAGAGCACCGGTCCCTGTCAGGGGCTCTGGCCTGGGAGGTCCCTCACTTCCTGGCCCCAGCTGTCCATGCAGGGCAGCAGAGAGACCAGGACAGAGTGACCATCACACTGGGCTCCCAGCACAGAGCACACACCAGGCGGCCCCGCTCCTCTGTGCTCAGGGAGCCTGTCTGGCTTCAGGCTGCTCTGGCTCTCAGGAAAGGTCAAGGCCACAGGTCAGGGAAGGTCATGTCTCCACGAACCCGGGAGCGGCACGGCTGCCTCAGTACTCCCTGGTGCACGTGTCCCCCCAAAGCCCTTGCTGCTCGGGACCCACAGGTCCCCAGCCTGACACCAGCTTCCCACGAGGCCTCTCTCTGTCCCTCCTCCTGCTCAGGGCCCAGGACATCTAGAGCAGTCTCAGGCCCCTCACGCTCCTCCCAGACCTGGCCTCGGCCACCACTGCCCCCTCCCTTCCTGGCCCCTGCTCACCTAAGCCAGGGCTCCCCATGACGGTGCGCCAAGCCCCACCCACTGGGTGCCAAGTGTCCTCCGGGGCATCACCCACCTGCGGGCAGAGCTGGGCACACGGGGCTCGGCCAACGCTGACGAGGCAGCTGAGAAGCCAGACCTGCCGTCCTGGTTCTGCTAGTTGGTCCTTCCACAAAGTGGGGGGGCTCTGAAGTCCTGAGGGGACACGATGTCCACAGAGGGGTCAGGCAGGCCACGCGAGGGGTCAGGCGGGCCACACGGAGGGGTCAGCTTCTGCCTCTCTGCAGGGCCATCCCACGAGCTGCTGCTGGGAAGGTCTTGAGCCTCTCGTCCTTTGCCCTGCTGCCCAGTGGGGACACCAGGACTCCCCACAGTGCCATCATGTCCCCAAAAAGGAGACACCAGAGCAGTGACAGGGCCAGGCCTGAGCCATAGACCCTGCACCCACTGCCAGCCCCCAGCTGTGGGATGCAGCCGGCCCAGCTCCTGTCCAGGTGCTGGTCATGGTCTGCCAGGCAAGGCACAGGGCAGGGCAGTGCACTCTGGCACGAGGAAGCCGCGGACAGCAGGCTCACGGTTCAGCCCTCGCCGCCCTGGCCCTGACTCTGGCCTGCTCTGCTCTGTCCCAGTTACAGAAGAAGACGGAGCACCTGGCACCAGGGAGCACGGAGAGGTGCGGCGGGAAGAGCAGAGATGGGCAGGAAAGTGCAGGTAGCTCTCCTTGGGGGACGGCTCCCTGCGTGGTCGCTTAGACAGAGTGGGAGGGGGTTGGGACCCCTTTGTGTGCATGTGTGTGCCTGTGTGCACGTACGCATTTGTGTGCTGGTCTCCCCCTGTTCTTGTAAGGCGCAACCTCGGGGCTCCACCCCACGGCCTGTCTAATCCCTGACTTCCCACAGGCCCCACCCAAACACCTCCTCGGGCCTCACGATGGGGTTTAAACGTCACCTCATGAACCCTTGAGGGTCACTCAAGCCATGGTGTACAGCGTGTTTAATTCCTCGAATGTAGTAATTAGAATTGGGCTCTGAGAAAAGGAGAGCACACTTCAGTTAGTAGTAAAGATCCATAATTAGGATATATATAGGGCGTTGATCCACGTGGGGCATGCACAGGGCCTGGGCAGGGTGGTGAGGCGGCACAGGCTGTGTGGGAGCACCACGGGAGGCAGGTGCACACCTTGGGGAGCCAAGTCTGGCTCTCACTCTCAGGGAGCTGGGGAGGGATCTCCATCACAGCAGGAAAGATCCCCTTTCTATGGTGCCTGTTTTGGGGACAGGTGTTACAGGCATTCTGAGTAGCCCTGTGCCCATCCAGAAAACGATATTTTTAAAGTGAAATTGAAGTACTTAAAACTTTTCCAAAATAAAGCATTTGTGTATTTCCCCTAGGCATTTTCCCCTGCACCTGCTGACACTGGTCATTCACTTGACCCGCGTGGTGGCAGAAGCGGTCTATGCAGCCACCCCACAATAAGGTCATACCAGTCACATGTCTGTCGGGTGACTTGAGAGTTCCTCAGTTTACAAAGCRTTTGGAGCACAGGGCCTGAGAACTGGGGCTGGGCCTGCCAGAGGGCCAGCGACTCCTGCACGCCCTAGCCTCGCTGCACACAGGCCGAGCGTCTCCACCTCAGACCTCTAAGCTGGGGTAGCACCCGCGTCACTGTGGCTTTAGCAGTTAAATGAGCAGCGCCCTGGTCCTCGCCAGGTGCCCAGCCAACTGCAGCATCCATCTTCTTTGATGGCTTCGGGTTCTTCCATGGCTCAGAAGAGGGATGGTGCTTTCCTTGCCCGCGTGTGTTCAACAGGACGTCCCATGACCTCAATCTTTTAAAACAGTCCTGTGGTCCTGCGCTCGCGGCCTGCCCGCCTGACCCCACGGCTCACCAGGAGCCCTTTCCTTTTCCCAGCAGACTGTTCCTGAAGGAGGCGGAAGAGCTGCGGTACTGTCCAGGGCGGCGGAGCYCCACAGGATGCCTGGGCCGGGGTCGCGCCTTGCGCCGGGCACCTCCAGGCCACATTTTCTAAGAACCATTTTGTTCACTGATCAAAAAAAAAAAGGAATTCATGATGCTGTACAGAATTTTTATTTTTAAACTGTCTTTTAAATAATATATTCTTATACAGAAATGGGTACTGTACTTTTTCTTTGGTAGAGTTGTGTATCCGGGCTGCTTCCCAAGTGTTCACGTGGAGACAAAGGACACTGCTTTTTCAACAGATGTATCTCAGACCCATTGACCAGTGTGATGTAATGCAAACGTCCGTGTAAATTCTGCATTAAATGTCAGAATGGTGCCAGAGTGCGGGGCCGTGCACATTCCTGTGTTCACGAGCAGAAGGGCGTTGATCCACGAGGGGCATGCACAGGGCCTGGGCAGGGTGGTGAGGCGGCACAGGCTGTGCGGGAGCACCACGGGAGGCAGGTGCACACCTCGGGAGCCAAGTCTGGCTCTCACTCTCAGGGAGCTGGGGAGGGGTCTCCATCACAGCAGGAAAGATCCCCTTTCTATGGTGCCTGTTTTGAGGACAGGCGTTGGAGGCATTCTGGAGGTAGCCCTGTGCCCATCCAGGACGGCCAACCCCCTGGGACGGTGGCACACATGGCGACCTTGCTCAGACTCACTACCCCCATGTGTGCCTGGACTCCTGGGCTCTGTGAAAAGCCAACAGAGGTTTCTAAGCCCCACCCCGGGCTGTGTGCCCAACCCTGCTCCCCTGGAAGAGGGACAAAATCACCCCAAGAGCCTCCATTCTAAAGAACTGACCTTAAAAGGCCACTTGCATAAGCCGAGCTTTGGGCACCCCTAGATGGCTAGTAACACCTGACACATCGCGAATGCACATCTGTGGAGGAAGGGAAAATGTACGTAGTCAGTTCAGATGTGAGTTTTTTCTGTTTCTCTTTTTTTTAATATTTATTTTTTAGCTTTAGGTGGACACAATATCTTTATTTTATTTTTATGTGGTGCTGAGGATCGAACCCAGTGCCTCATGCATGCCAGGAGAGCGCACAACTTGAGCCATATCCCCAATAAGTTTCTTTTAAAAAACTTAACCTTGGGGCTGGCGTTGTGGCTCAGTGGTAGAGCGCTCACCTAGCAAGCGTGAGGCACTAAGTTCGATCCTGAGCACCACATAAAAACAAATAAAGATATTGTGTCCAAGTACAACTAAAAAAAAAAATTAAATCTTTATTTGTTTTTATGTGGTGCTGAGGATGGAACCCAGGGCCTCACCTGTGCTAGGCAAGCGCTCTACCACTGAGCCACAGCCTCAGCCACCCAAATATTTTTTAAATATTTATTTTTCAGTTGTAGTTGGACACAAGACCTTTATTCTATYCATTCATTCATTTTTTTGTGGTGCTGAGGATCAAACCCAGGGCCCTACACGTGCTAGGCGAGCACTGTACCGCTGAGCCACAACCCCAGCGCCTCCCAAATGTATTTTATACAAGAATATGGATGCTGTCGATGCAGAGGGCAGGATGCACACCATCACGTGTGTGCATGTGCATCCACACAGGCAATGCGTGTGCACTCCCAGACAAGCCACACATAAGCTCCGAGGAGCTGCCCCTGCAGGGCGGCACACTTCCTCTGGGCTCAGCCTCTACCACGTCCCAGAACACAAAACCCGCAGACGGCAAAGTTGGCAGGGAGAGGAGCTCTAGGCAGAGTCTGCAGAGGGTCAGGTTCTTGGTTGACAGCGTGGCCTTAGGAACTGGCACGGGGGCATCGGGCTCCCCACGAGTGCCCCCTCGAGGCCTCTCTTCAAGTGTTTACACTCGGGGCAGTTCCTGCTCCATCAGCTGAGCCTGTGGGGACAAGGAGCCTGAGTCACTGCTCCCAGGGACAGGTCCCAACCTTCACGTTGCAGAGAAAGCCCACCAGGAACAATCCATGGCAGAGCATCCCCACAATCCCCAAGGACAGAGGCCCATCCTCCCTGGTCGTCTGCACACCCAGAGACCCAGGGCCTGGCCCCCCAGATACCCACACGAGCAGGGGAGGGAGTCCACGGCCACACTCGGCAGTAGAGGCGAGGGAACTCTTGGTACAGCAGAGGAGGTGCACAGGTCAGGGCAGCCCCCAGCCCCGGGGACAGGTCCAGCAGGAGGAGCCAGTGTGCAGACAGGCAGGCTCAGGGAAGACTCCTGGAGGGCCCGTTCCCAGGGWGCACCGCCCACTAAACAAGCTGCTCCTGAGTGGCCGGCGCCAACCTGCCTGCACAGTGGACTTCCTGCCCCACATTGGCATTCAGCCAGCACAAGGGGACAGGTGCCAGACCCAGGTGCACATCAGGGCACGAGCAGCAAAGCAGCCAGGAGAGCACCGCTGCCGGGCTGCTGTCCGGCCACTGCCTGTCACAGCCAGACTCTGGCCCTGCAGGAGCTTGTCACCTGAGCTGGCGTGACCACCACACCTTCATGGCCTTGGTCCCTGCCAGCAACAGGGAGACGCTGTTTCCAATGCTTTGCCCCCAGAGACCCGGGGAATGCTGCACATGTCCAAGACTGAACCTGACCAATCCCAACGAATCTGCCTCTGCAGCGTCACCCTCCGAGTTGGGCCCTGCCACGTGCTGCCCTGGGAAGGCAGGGCCTGGCCCCCTGTTCCCCTCTTCTGTCGAGAGCAGCCTCATCCCGGGGCCAGCATCCCGGGGCCAGTGCCCCGCCTTGCTCCGATACTCACCCTGCCCAGCTCCCTTCGCTTGTGAGAGCTGAGCCCGGGTCCTCTTCACTTGCTGTCACTGGCCACCACATCACATGGGAAACACGACACAAAAACAGTCCCCTGAGGTCGGGCGCACACCAGACACACAGAACACCCACTCSAGGTAAATGTGGGTTGGTGGGACCTRCTCCAGGTTGCCCTGGTACAGGACAGCAGCTGCTTCGTGTGGCCAGCCACCCAGCTGCCCGCCTGGCCCACCGCCACAGGAGACCCGTAAGACTGGAACCAGTCTGTCTAGGGAGAGATGGAGCCACGGCTCAGATGGCGGAGGGCTGCTGCCCATGACGAGCCGAGCAGTGGGCCAGGGCGCTGGGGCCAGCGTCCCCCTGGTCCTCGGGCAGGTGTTACTGTGGGAGCTCCAATCCTTCCAAGGGGAGGTAGAGAGTGGGCAGCAGCAGGTCCCACAGACCCCTGGAGCCGGGGGGGCAGAAGCTCTCCTCCGCCTTTGGCAGAACTCCTCATGGTGAGAACACACGACGCAGGAGCTCGCCTGGGACAGAGCCCGGCCCTGAGCGGARGAGCCCCTTGTCACGGGCTGCACTGTCCCCCTCAAAGTTCCCCTGGTACTGCACAGTGAACCCACGGGCACTTTTAAAATTTTGACACAGAGCCTCCTAAGTTGGCCAGGCCACTTTCAAACTTAGGATCCTCCTGCCTCAGCCTCTGGAGTCACTGGGGTCACAGTGTGCATCAGCCCACCCACCCCCAAAATTCATACGTGAAAGTCAACCCCTAGTCCCTCAGAATGTGACTGGACTTGGAGTCAGGGTCTTTAACGAGGTGACTGAGGTAAAATGGGGTCCTTGGGACAGCCTTGAGCCAATGCGACTGTGTCCTCCCAGGAAGGGGATTGGGACACACACACCCAGGAACACACACACACACACACACACACACACACACACACACACACGATGGTCCTGTGAGGACACAAGTGGAGCACGCCAACCGCCAGCTACAGAGAGGGGCCCCAGGAGGAACCAGCGTGGACACACCTTGACCTGGGTCTCCAGCCTCCTGGAGGGAAAGAGAGGCATGTCTGCTGTTAGTCCTGGCCGGGGGACTTGGTTATGGCCACCCAAGCAGACTGATCACGAACCGCTGCCTACTGGGCACCAAGATGCCCGCCRGCCTCCAGGGCTGTCCTCTCTCTGGGACTTGCCTGCCATGGGGAGATGGCCTCATCCTGGGGAGCCCTTGAAGGTCTTAGGCAAGGGCACCATGACACCCTGGCCCCCATGCAGCCCCCAGTCACCCCTCCATCTCAGGGGCCGCGAGGCCAGGAGGGGAACCCAGGAAACGCCCAGGGCTTCACCCTCCTCCCCAAGGGCAGGCCCRCGGCTTCCTCCCCGGCAGACACCAGCAGCACGTGGCAGTGGACTGAGAAGCCCTCAGAGATAGACACCCTCGGAAACACAAGTCCTGACCGTGAGCTCTGGCCACCCGAGACCWCTGACTTGGCCGGCCCAGCACCTGAGGTGGGGTCACTAAGCCAAGCTCGGGCCCTCTGAGCCCAGGTCCTCAGCTCTACGGTCGAGCTGGGTCTGAAACACCACTGGGGAGTGTCACTGCCCGCTTCTCCTCTCGTGTCTAAATTTCCTAAGATTTTCCTTTAATGAGTAAGCAAATGTTATTTTATTTTGAAGATGGGCATGAGCCTGGCAGGGCTTTCAGTCCACAGGAGAAGGCTGTGGGAGGTGGGGGCAGACACGAGTCCAGGYACACACCATCAGAGGCTGAGGGTCACTGGCGTCCACCGGCCACTCATCGGATACCACACGCTGTGCGGCTCACAAACAACAGCAAGTGTGGCTCACAGTTCTGGAGGCTGGACGTCCAAACCCCAGGTGCCCACAGGCTCAGTGTCTGGTGAGGCTGCTTCCTGGTCCATGGTGCMGAGCGAGCCCGCCTCCAGGGCCTCCTTCAGAAGGACACTCTCCTCACCAGGAAGCCTCCACCCTCATGACCTGGTCCCCTCCCACAGGCTCACCTCCTAAAACTGTCACACCAGGRTTGATTTCAATGCATGAATGAGGGCAGGGGTCACAGACATCTGGACTGTAGCTGCTGGTGACCCCTGGAACCTGGGAGAGGTGGGAAGGGTCCTTCCCTGAAGCCTCAGAAGCAGCAGCCCTGCCGTGTGACACCTTGATCCCAGACTTGTCCCTCCAGAAGGACAGGGAACCCTTCCCCTCCGCACCAGAAAGACAGGGACCTCCTCCCCCACACCAGGAGGACAGGGACAGGGAGGCTTACTTGGGGT